GGGGGGGGGTCTGTGACTTGGTCGCGGGGTCAAGACAATTGGTTTGTTAATGAAAAATAAATTCATAGAATAAATGATCTTGGAAACCCTAGAACATCTTAATATATTCAGATTTCTTATATGACGATGAGGAAGGACCACACAATCTCTAACCAGTGTAGTATCAAAGCTGCATAGTCTTGGGGATGTTGCAGTGTCTAAAAGAAATGAAATTTAAATATTGAATGAGACCTCTCCCAGTTGTGGAACACTGCATCTAAGCTAAAATGTTACTTCCTGCTAAGCTAGAAAACCCTCCTAGGTGAGGCAGAGGAAATGACTTCTTACTTGGCTAAGATGAAGATAAAATTATGCAGATTCTGCTCTTCTTGGTGCCACATCTTGTATAAGTTTGAGAACAGAGCTTGGCTTTAAATTGATGGGTAAATATGCTAAAAAAAGGGCTGTTTTAAACGTTGGAATGTGTTGCTGCCTCATGTGAAGGTGGCTTGCTGCTGCTTGCCTGGTATAGAACTGATTTTTATCTCATTGGTACAAAATGGACTGGTTTTGTCACAAACCTAGTTTATTACTTTAATGGGTTATAACTATGGATCGACACAAAAGGGGAATATTATTTTGGTAATAATGTCTTGGCATTTTTATCAAATGACAGGCTGTTTTCCCTATGCACCTTTTCCTCCTCTTAGTGCTACATGCGCAAAGGATTCGTTGATGTATGAAGCTAGTAAGAGGTATCCCAGAGTTTCTATCCTAGGGAAAACTTGGGCAAATAAGTTGCACCTTGTCCACAATGCCACTTCCCGTCAGTAAGGCAACCTGAGAGTCCCATTTCTCAGGCCTGTGTTCAAACCAATGGCTCGTCCTAGCTGTGGAAACGTTTGGGTTTCTTTGTTAGGCTTGCACACAGAGGAGAGACTGCTTCAAATTTGAGACTGGGAAGGACATAACGGCCATTAGATCCAGTCCCTGGTGTACCCAGACCACCTTTTATCCTACTAAAGTCATGCCATTGTCCAGTCTAGCTCCTTTCAAAGACCACAGCTACAAATCCCCTTATGAAAACCAAAAATGCCTCAGAGCATGACTTGCACAAAAAGTGATTGTGACAAGGGTCCCATCGGTGTCCTGTCACTGAAATGCAGGGAAATATTTTGGTTAATGTATTTGGAGGATATGAGGAAGAGGCTACATGCTGCAGAGGGAGGCAAAAACTCATTTGTTCCTTGCCAGTCTGACCTGCTGGAAAAATTCATTTTTGATCCCAATTCTGGCACCTGGTTTTATCCTGAGCAAGACCTCTCCCTCCAGCTGGGTACTTGAAGTGAGGTGTAAGTCTTAGTGTCAGTGGGACATAGTTTATACTTTAGTAATCATGAATTTGGAATATGAGGGAGAAACTGGTATAGACTAAAAAGGTAGTTGGTTTTGCATGTGTACGTTTAGTTTTGTAACACTTGATTATGCTGCTGGTTTTGGATTCTGATCCTGACTGATAAATCTAATTCAAGAGCTTTACTGTTAAGATTGAATTAGCCAGAGCCCTTGCTTCCAGGTTTCTTCTTCTTACTGAGACATGAAGGGTCGAAGCAGGATGGAGCATGTGCCACGTACCCCATCGACTGCTGTGCACCTCCTCCTAAAGGTAGCTGCTGACCTGGAACCTTTTTTTTTTTTTTTTT